GACATAACTAAACATATAATAACACACACGAATAAAGGTGTTATTTTAAAACATAAAAAGAAATGTCACATACTCATTTATACATAAATAAGTGAAAAATATATATGTAATGTGTGTAGTGCTGTTTGCCTAAGGTGGTATTCCCAGGGGATGTTTTTTTTAATATATATATACACATACACATACACACACACACACACACATTAATGCACATATACATATCTTTAATATTTTTAAAATATTCTTTCATCAACTCTAGACCTACATTTTCTCATATTGTAACATCTCTAAAATTGGAATGCATTTTACAATCTAAGGCACTTAATAATTTAACTGGCAGTTTTTAACCTTAGCAATGCATGTAATGATGAATCTTACAATAGAGGTGCTTTAGGTTCAATAAATTATGGAAGGCTAACTCTACAATAGGTATTTCTTGATATATTTGAGAGCAAACATCTTATTCCTAAGGGGTCTTCAAGCAGAAAATCCTGAGTGCTCATTTGATAGAGAAAAAACTCCACTAATATACAGCAGGATAGCTATTTTGGAGAGAACCTGGCAGTACACTTAAATGAAGCAGACGTTTATATATGTCAAAACATGCTCGCAGAGGTCCAGAAGAGAAATGTCTAATGCTGCATGTGTTGGCAAGGAGCTGGAGGCAATCTGGATGCCTAGCAATGTAGGAGTAGATAGACTGGTAGATGCACACAAAAATTATATAAGAGTTGGAAGCAAACGACTAGATGTACACAAAGTAACAGATAATTTCAAAAACAGTGCTGAGTAGAAAAAGAGATAAGAACAAAAACAAAGCATACAATTTATATTTCTGTAAAGTTAAAATAAAAGATACACATTCTCAATACACGTAAACAAAACATTAAAATGTTTGCATTAAGAAACGGAAGAAGGGAATGAGCTATAGGAATAAAAAGAATAAATACATTATATAAACAGTGGCCTTCCAGGGATCAATGATGATTATGTGTCAAACTCAGGAAAATGACTAATTTAATCTTCCTCATTTTCAGTCAAACTAGAAAACCACAACAAAACTACATTAAGCACCATGGAAGTAGAAAAATAATAATACTGTGCTGAGTAAGTACAGCTACAAATAAAATAATATGTAAATAGTAAATATATTGTTAGTATATACCAGGCATGTATGAGCTTACATACATTGATAAATCCTCCCAATAATTCCATGGAATAAATACTATTATCATTCTATAGGAAATCAGGGAATAAACAAGTTAAGGAATTTAGTAAGGCTGGAATTCAAAACCCAAACTGTGTGCACCTAGAACTGTAATTTGGATTTGTTACACTAGAGAGCCTGTCACGAATCAGCCAACATTTCTATAATATAAAGCTTACATCTAAAAAGAAGCAAAGCCGTTGACAACCAAGCATAATGCAAGCTGAAGACAAATAATAAAAGAGGTGGCCGAATAAAATATAAGTCTGGATATGGCATATAGGCGGCACTTAATAAAATACTTGCTGACTGAGTGGGTGAATTAATGAGTGGGAGATAACCTCAGGTTGATTCAATGAGTTGCACCAAAGATCTGGAGAGGTGACGGTAGATGGAGTTCACGTGAAATGCAAAAAGAGTAAGGGAATACGGATGGGAAACCACTGGATGCATGGATAAATTACCAAGTGACCGAGACTAGAGAGGTGACTGTATATGGTACCTAAAAGAAAGTGTTTGGAGCTTCACTTGTGTAGAGTATAGGCTTTAGACCTCCTAGGTTTGAATCCTATCTGGCTCTATCACTTTCATCTGAATGGCCTTGGGTATGCTATTAACCACCTAGTGGTTTTGTTTTATCTGAGCAAAATGGGGTTCAGTCATTCATTTAAAAAACAGCTGGGCACTTATTTTGTGGCAGGCGCTGTTCTAAGTGCTGGAAATACAACCATGAATACAAAAACATCCTTGTCCTCACGGACCTCATAGTCTATTCACAAGTAACAAACAAATTCAGTCTGATGGCCATAAAAGGCACAGAAAATGAAAGGGATGAAATAGATAAGGATACCATGTTAGTTGATAACAACAACAGCTAATACTTACTGTGGGCTTATTTTCTGTGTCCCCTCAAAATTCGTATATTGAAACCTAATCACCAATGTGAGTAGCAGGAAGTGGGGGCCTTTGGGATGATTAGGTTATAAGGGTAGAACCCTCATTGTTGGGATTAGTGCCCTTATAAAAGTGATCCCAGAGAGCCAGCTTACCTTTGTGCCATAGGAGGACACAGTAAGAAGTATGCAACCTGGGAGAGGGCCCCCATCAGAACCTTACCATATGAGCACCCTTATCTTGGACTGTCTTGCTTCCAGATCTGTGCAAAATAAATTTTTGTTGTTTATAAGCTACCCAGTCTATGGTATTTTGTTATAGCTGACCAAATGGACTAAGACACTAAGTAACTGGTACTATCTAACTTACTGTATGATTCATTTAATATAATGGTTCAGGGAAAGCCTCCTCCCCTAAAAGTACCTATCTTTCACAGGGTTGCTATGAGGCTTAAATGAGGCAACACTTAAAGGTTCTTAGAACAATGTCTGGCACAGCATAAGCACTCAATAAATGTTAGCCATTCGTGTATTTTTTAAAAGTTTACCTAAACTGGTCCTTTACTTCATCAAGATTGAGGCTTTGGGTAACTATGAGAGGCATGGTCAAGAAATTTTTCAGTGGCAGGATACTGAAGTAAGTTGGCATACATAGTCAAGAACTAAAATAGGAGACAGACTTATCAAGTGAGATAGTCTAAGTGAAACAATAAAATGTGCAGGTAGAAAGAGCTGGACCAAGAGGAAAGATGATGGGTTTACCATGGGAAAGAAAAGATGTTCTCAGTGACAGTAGGAAAGAACTCTTTGGTCTTTCTGAAATCGCTGTAAAGTTCTCATAGCTAGTGACAACTTTATAAATCTTACATCAAATCCTATAACTGTCGATAACCACACAAGGACAAAAAACAATGACTAGAACATCTTTAATTTGTATGGCAAACATCGTTTGCTAATGATTATGGAATCTGAATTTATGCATCTTATTATGACAAAGTAACTATAAAATAGACAGACACAGTATGTAGCAAAAGAAATGTACCAAAGAAACCAAATTTCCAGAGCAAAGATAATTATAATTTTGGCTGGTCAGGTGCGGTGGCTCACGCCTGTAATCCCAGCACTTCGGAAGGCAGAGGGAGGCGGATCACGTAAAGCCAGGAGTTCGAGATCAGCCTGGCCGACACGGCAAAAAACCCTGTCTCTATTAAAAATACAAAAATTAGCCAGCCATGGTGGCAGGCGCCTGTAATCCCAGCTACTCGGGAGGCTGAGGCAGGAGAATCACTTGAATCTGGGAGGAGGAGGTTGCAGCGAGCCGAGGTCACACCACTGCACTCCAACCTGGGCAACAGAATTAGACTCTATCTCAGGAAAAAAAAAAAAATTGTAATTTTGATTCTCCCTATCAAATCAGTCATATCAGTTAGTGCTAAATGAAGTAGCAAACAACATGGTGAGAAAATACATCTAAGGAAATATACTTCCACTTTGGGAGGCCGAGATGGGGGGATCACCTGAGGTCAGGAGTTCCAGACCAGCCTGGCCAACATGGTGAAACTCCATCCCTACTAAAAATACAAAAAAAATTACCTGGGCGTGGTGGTGAGCACCTGTAATCCCAGCTATGTGGGAGGCTGAGGCAGGAGAATTGCTTGAACCCAAGAGGCAGAGGTTGCAATGAGCCCAGATTGCGCCACTGCACTCCAGCCTGGGCGACAGAGCAAGACTGTCTCAAAAAAAAAAAAAAGAAAAGAGAAAATATACCTCATATGTGCTAGATTTTTAAAACTGAGTCTACAAAAGTAATTAATCCATATCTACCTTTAAATCACTCCATATTTCAATATTCAAATTATTATCATTTTGAGCTAGGGTCTTGCTCTGTCACTCAGGCTGGAGTGCAGTGACACGACCTCAGCTCACTGTAATCTCTGCCCCTGGATTCAAGTGATTCTCCTGCCTCAGCCTCAGGAGTAGCGGGACCCATAGGTGGAGCACCACCACGTAGGGCTATTTTATTTTATTTTATTTTATTTTATTTTTTTTAGTAGCAAGGTGGTCTCACCATGTTGCCCAGGGTGGTCTCGAACTCCTGAGCTTGACAGCAATCCACTGGCCTCAGCATCCAAAGTGCTGGGATTACCGGTGTTGGCCACTGCACCCGGCCTCCAATTATTATTATTATTATTAGTTTTTGAGATAGTCTTGCTCTGTTGCCCAGGCTGAAGTGCAGCGGCGCGATCGTGGCTCACTGCAAACTCCACCTCCTGGGCTCAAGCGATTCTCCTGCCTCAGCCTCCCGCCTCAAGACTCCTGAGCAGCTGGGATTACAGGCACCTGCCATCACGGCTGGCTTTTTTTTTTTTTCAGTAGAGCTGGGGTTTCACAAGGTTGGCCAGGCTGGTCTCAAACTGCTGACCTCAGGTGATCCAACTGACAGATAAAACTGTATTTGTCAGGTACAACATAATGTTTTGAAATATATATACATTGTGAAATGGTTAACTCTAGCTAATTAACAAATGTTTTACCTCACATAGTTATTTTAGTAATGAGAACACTTAACATCTGATGTGTTTTTCAAGATTACAATGTCATTAACTATAGTCACCATGCTGCACAATAGATCTCTTGAATGTATTCCTCCTATTCAACTGTAATAATGTATCCTTTGACCAACATCTCCCCAGTCCTCCTTTACCCCAACCACATCAGCCCTTGGTAACCACCATTCTATTCTCTACTTCTATGAACACCAAAATTATTTAAAGGCTATACTTGTCAAGAAATATAAATGTATCATTTCAAGTTCAGATAATGTGTGTGTGTATTTCTTATTTACCTGCCATTTGAAGACAATAAAGCATACAGAAAACAAAATTTAAACCTGATCTTACCTTTGTAAGATAATCCACTTTCAAATTGTCGATCATCATAGTTTTCTGGGATAGCTCAATTTTTAGTAACTGAATATTATGAAGTAGTTCTTTTCGTTCAATTAGCTGCCTGGTGATTTTGACTTTACCCTCTCGCTCTTCTGATGAGGAAATATCGTCCGTAGGAACTGTTGTTTCTAAACTAATATCTTCAGATTCTAGAGAACTAGAGATGTTCACTTTTTTTGACTCCTTTGAAATTTTTCGAGACATTTTTATTATTATGAATCAGTTTTCTTCTCTAATTCGATTTTAGTATTCTGTAGGTTAAAAAACAACATTAATTTAAAAATTAACTGCAGAAATCATGGACCGTATTGAAGAGAGACTAAGGGTTCCTTAAATAAATATTAGGCAATTTAGTGCACCCCTAATCTAGAACAGATTATTGCAGTAAGTTAGTGCTCAAATCAAACACATTAATTCCTACTACGAACTCAGTCTTCGAGGAACTTTAAAGAAACAAAACAAACAAACAAAAAACAACAGTTCCTGGGGGGAGGAATCTTATTTGGACGAAACAAAGAAATGTACAAGATGAAGAAAAAAGCCCATTATAATCAAGAATGGCACTACTAAGAGCAACATATGCTCAAAGATAACAGAAATCACGACTGAGTTGGTCAGGCAAAGGTTACACGGAGGTAGTACTTAGACTCTTGAAAGACTTGGACAGGCATAGTAAAGAGGAGAAATCATGCAGTTATTAACGATACGTGAGTGGAAGTAAAAAAATAAAGCCAAGTCTTGGAATAGTTACTCCTTCCATTCCCCCCCATCCCCAAAACACACACACACACACACACACACACACACACCCCCCCTTAACGATCAAGACTAGAGGGCCTCATAATGTCAAAATATGGCTGGATTTTATTCTATAGGCAATGAGTCATCACTGAAAGTTTTTTAAATAGGGAAAACAGGGAGACAAAAACATTTTTTATAGATAGCAGAATGAAAACAACAGGGTATAACAAAAGTTAAAGAAATTCTAAATATAACTTCTTACTCTTTCATAAGAATGTTAGCAACTACCTTGTTTTAATACCTCATGATATAACAAATTATGCTATTAAATATTTCAGTTTTTCTAAACTGAATGATAAGGAAAGGTGTATGGAGTGGAAACAGCGAGAACTATACTAAGATCGGCCTCCCTCCTTTTTGAAGGGAAATGGGTAAGAAAAAGTGAATTCAAAGACAAATCCTCTCCTCGATTACAAAGGACCCGAAACGGGGACTGCCTACACACTCGGCGCGAAAATTAAGCCCCAAACTTGGCAGGTCGGGGGATTCTCTGCCCCACGCGGCAAAGGGATGATAGTCGCTAGTTACCTCGAAAGAGTCAATTACTCCACACTGAACGCTTGACCAGCGGCCAGTGCAGATACTTCGAGGGACCAAAGGCGTCTCCAGTCGGAAGCTCAAGGTTGCAGGCCCTCAACAAGGGATTTCAGGGCAGGGGACCGTTAGGACCAGTAACCAAGACAACCATCTCCGCACCCGTAAGGACGATAGAAGCAGCACTCCCACAAGCCGCCGGAAGTCAGCTCTCCCGGATGTTCCGAGGCGCGGAAAGCAATACACGATGGGAGGTGGAGTCCAGAAGCGAGCCCCGCCTAGGCTACGGGCGGAAATGGCTCCTCGCCTTGCTTTGTCGCCCCTCCTCACTTTCGCCCAATCGCGGCCGTCAGAGAGCCAATCAACGTTTGTCTCGACATTTTCCCGCGAGAAGTGTTACTAATATCCAGGAACGGAAAAGGGAGAACTTCTGGATGAGGCATAGTTGTGTCCTAGCTTGAAGCCTTTTGCTGGAAGAGCACAGCTGGGGTTAGGATTCTGCGCGGCGAAGCAAGATGCTCAAGTCCAAGACGTTCTTAAAAAAGACCCGGGCGGGCGGCGTGATGAAGATCGTGCGCGAGCACTACCTGCGAGACGACATCGGCTGCGGTGCGCCCGGGTGCGCAGCGTGTGGCGGGGCGCACGAGGGGCCGGCCCTGGAGCCGCAGCCCCAGGACCCGGCGAGCAGCCTCTGCCCGCAGCCGCACTACTTGCTGCCTGACACTAATGTGTTACTGCACCAGGTGCGTGGGCGGGCGAACCGCAGACAGCGAGGCCCCACCGGGACAAGGGGATATGACACGTAGGGAAACTGAGGCTCAGGGAGGAGGGTCTTTGGCAGTGTCTCAGATCTAGGGGAAGGGAAACCCCCTGGGGACCCAAGCTGCCTGTTCCCCAGGCCGAGGTTCTTTTCCTTGTGCTTTAAAAAATGTAGTTCTTGGAGTCGTATTTTAGACACGTTATTTTTCTAACTCCTGGTGTCTCTTCTGCCTTAGATTGTAAGTGCCTGGAGGCTGGGGACCTGGGCTTCTGTGGCCTCCAGCCTGCGACTCCCAGGCAGCTTGTAAGTGCCTACGAAAAAAAACTATGTGAGCCAACGTGTTTCTTTATTAATACCCTTAATTCTACGAAGTCTTGTGATTGGTCTGTTTAAGTGTGCTTTTTAAATAGATCTGAAGGATTTAGTGACTTGTTTTCTATAGCCAAATAGCTTCTTGGCTTAACTTATTCAGTGTATTTAAAACATAAAGTATTTATGCCCAACATAAAACAGGATTTTGTGTTTGACGGAAGCTACTTACAAATGAATATAGGAAAAATTAACTTACTTTCTTTTTTTAAGATTGATGTTCTTGAGGACCCTGCCATCAGGAATGTAATTGTGCTACAAACAGTTCTTCAAGAAGTGAGAAATCGCAGTGCCCCCGTATATAAACGTATCCGAGATGTGACTAATAACCAAGAGAAGCATTTCTATACTTTCACTAATGAGCACCATAGGTAGGAGGAATATTGCTAAGTTAAATATCAGGAGACCACAGAATTAGCTAAATTGGGAAGAGGGTTCCTGTGAGTAATTTGTGACATTGTCAGTAGATAAGTGATAGATTTCATACCCTATTTGATTCTTACCTCGCTGTGCAGAAGATAATGCTAAGTGAATCTCTCTAAGGTCACACAGGCATTGATGGGCTCAAGCCTAAAACCAAGGCCTGCTGACTCCTAGACTACAGTAGGTAATTTTATTTCCAAAATGTTTTCATTTTGAATTGGTTTTAGCTTGAATTAGACCGTAGAATCTTGGAAGATGAGATTTGCCTAAGTTCCTGGAATGCCATATAATGTGAAGAACAGGGTAATAAAATGTATGAGTTTGTGAAGTTTCTATTTTGTTTAGAAATAGAAAGTATATTTATCCTTAATGGTCTTTTAAAAAGTTTAATACTTTGCAGCAGATTACATTGAGCAAGATTAGGTTAAGGAATATAATTCTTTTTTTTTTTTTTTTTTTTTTTTTGAGACACAGTCTCACTCTGCCGCCTAGGCTGGAGTGCATGGCATGATCTCGGCTCACTGCAACCTCCACCTCCCAAGTTCAAGCGTTTCTCCTTCCTCAGTCTCCTGAGTAGCTGGGATTACAGGCATGTACCACTATGCCCGGCTAATTTTTGTTTTTTTAGTAGAGACAGGGTTTCACCATGTTGGTCAGGCTGGTCTCAAATTCCTGACCTCGTGATCCGCCCACCTCAGCCTCCCAAAGTGCTGGGATTACAGGCATGAGCCACCACCCCTGGCCAAGAATAGAATTCTTTGTTGTGCTTTTAGATTCAAGACCTTTGGTCTCAGAAAATAAGATATTGTGTATTATGTTATATTATGTAAATAATCTATGATGGGTATTTATGGTACTTTTATTGGATTAGATCAGGGCTTCTCAATCTTGGCATTATAGATATTTTGAACTGAATTTTTTGTGTGTGGTGGGAAGGCTGTTTTATACATTGTAGGATGTTTAACAGTGTTCCTAGCCTCTTTGGCAGAATCATCACCCCTTACCCCCCCCACCACCACCACTCAGTTGTAATGATGCAAAATGCCCTGGGGGAGCGAATTCACTCAATTGAGAACCATTGGATTAGTGTGTAGGATTCTGGTAATGAAATTCCATCAGATTATGCACATTTTTAAAAACCTTAATTTCTCAGCTTTCTTGATTCTTATATCTCAAACTTCAATGTCCTTGTAAAGAATACCAGTAAAGCCCTTGTAGGCTTCTTATTGTTAGTACCTCCTTGAAATCCAGAAATAGGAACATCACTTGTTTTTCAGTGCAGAAAGACCCATGTTTAAAACCAATTCAAAAATTGATGACTCTGTCTTTCACTGATAAGCTTTAAGCATTAGCAGCTGGGTGTGGTGGCTTATGTCTGTAATCCTGGCACTTTGGGAGGTTGAGATGGGCAGATCACTTGAGGCCAGGAGTTCCAGACCAGCCTAGCCAAATTAGCTGGTTGTGGTGGTACATGCCTCTAGTACCAGCTGCTTGCAAGGCTGATTTGGGAGGATCGCTTGAACTCGGAGGTAGAGGTTGCAGTAAGCTGAGATCATGCCACTGCACTCCAGCCTGAGCTGCAGAGCAAGACTCTGTTTCAAAAAAAAAAAAAAAAAAAAAAGCATTAGCAAGTGCATTCAACGATGAGGAATAAAATAATTCTAAAACTATTAATATAAATCAATCAAATTATAAAATTGAATCTATTACCATTAAGTACTGGAAGCTATTGTAGTGAACTTTGCTGCTGTACTTAAACCTGGCATTGATGAACAGATTTAAAGAAATAGATGAATGTGTTGACGTTTGGGAGTTTAGATAGAAGAAATATGTAATATCTATTAATATACCTGGCTTTTCAGTCTCTACACAACTTCAGCTATTAGTGTTTACCATGGATAATTTACATGCATTATTTATTAATGACTGTAGAATTCTGATTATAAATGATCTAATTATACTATTTGTAGCTTTTAGGAATTGCTGTTAACCTACAGTGTGAGTGAAATCAGATTATCAGACCTGTGAAATTGTATTATAATTTTATCTCAACAAACTTATTTAGTGTCTCAACCTAAAGTATATATTCTGATCTTGAATTTTTCTTTTTAGGAAAAGAAATTCTATTAGCCTTTTTCTTGTCCCATTAATAACATAATTTTCTTCTTTTCCAAGCAAATTGTTTCTTAAAAACTTAATTATAGGAATCTTAATTTCTTCTCTGAGGTGTACATCTGAATACATTCCAGAGAAAAGATATACCATTGGCTTTTTCTGTTTAGTGGTTAAGCATGTATGTGCTAAGAGTTTTCACATATCCTTGTGTCTACTGATTTCCTTTTGTTTCATTTTTTCCTTTCCTTTCCATTTAGAGAAACCTATGTAGAACAAGAGCAGGGAGAAAATGCTAATGACAGGAATGATAGAGCTATTCGAGTAGCAGCAAAATGGTACAATGAACATTTGAAGAAAATGTCAGCAGACAACCACCTGCAAGTTATCTTCATAACAAATGACAGGAAAAACAAAGAGAAAGCTGTAGAAGAAGGAATACCAGCTTTCACTTGTAAGTCTAAATGTAGAAGTACTTAGTGCATGTTTGCAAATACGTGTAAAAATAATCGTCAGACCTATAGTCAGATGTTCACTTTACTGTTTAGTGTTTTCGTAGTCCTATGTAACTTCATGTGATATTTTTGTATTTTTAAATTTCACATAGTTTTTAAGCTAAATATGTTGTGGTGCCCAGTGGCTGTTAATTTTCGCCTCAGTATTTGCAACTGGTTTAGCAATGAAATCTCATAAATACACTGAAACGCCTGCCTCTGCATGATCACATCATGATCACATCAACAGATTTTTGGGTTTTGTTTCTTAAATAAATTGAGGCCAGGTGCTGTAATCCCAACACTTTGGGAGGTCAGGGCAAGAGGCTTGCTTGAGACCAGGCGTTCAAGACCAGCCTGGGCAACATAGGAAGACTATGTCTCTACAGAAAAAAAAAAAAAGAGAGAACCATGCATGGTAGTGTGTAACTATAGTCCCAGCTACTCAGGAGGCTAAGGCATGAAGATAGCTTGAGCCCAGGGATTCTAGGCTGTAGTGATGTGTCATTGCACTGCTGCACTCCAGCCTGAGAGACAGAGTGAGACTGTCTCTTAATGAATGAAAGAATGACATGTATACTGTCGCAAACAAGACTATCCATCTTTTTCGTATCTAAGGAAAAAACACTATCAAAAACAACATAAACTTATTTTTTCAGGTGAAGAATATGTAAAGAGCCTAACTGCTAACCCTGAACTCATAGATCGTCTTGCTTGTTTATCTGAAGAAGTGGTATGTTTTTGTTTTGTTTTGTTTTTGAAAAGTAAAAATATTAAAATAGCCACTTTGGAATATTAGGCACATAGATACCAAATTTAAAAATTGGAATGTCGGTGGGTAAGCTGGATTTGGAATAGTTGTGTTATAAACAAGAGTGGATGTCATAGGCTTATTGAAATGCCATTCCTAAAAGACAACTTTCTAAAATAGATATATTTCCATTAACCTGAGTAGGGCCTGGTACATGGTAGCACTGTTTGGTTGAGGAAAAAATGAATGGAATCCATGGCTGATTTGTGAATAAAGAGTAGCTGTTGACAAATACAGAAATGGCAGGCACTGCAGGCAGAGAAAAGAAGAGGGAGGGGAGTGTCCAGATAGTAAAGACCTATAACTTATTCTGTAGGT